ATAGTATTCTCTCGTTATATGCACTCAGAGTCTTCGGCTGGCCACCATTGCATCGCAGCTATTGTTTTCGCTAAATGCTATAGCCTCTTTATAAGTAGTTGGATCTGTAAAACTTCTGTGACACACATCCTTTAATGATGAGGACAGTTTTTTGCCTAGGTCGCCTAGAGCATATCCGTAGGCCAGACAAGTTACGGCTAGCCTTCACAGCTTCACTGTTAAAGTCATCAGCCCTACATCGTCACTTTCAGCGATAAATAAAATAAAAGTGAACTTCACACCTTATATGCTCGTGATGTCAGAAAGTGTTTTGCTAACATAAGGCGCCACCCTGAGGATGACACCTTATATTTAAGTAAAATTGACTCAGGCTTCAAAGGCTTGGCTGTTCTCATGTTAACGATGGCATACGTGTCTTGTCATTAGAAAGTTACGCGTGATAGCAGTGCGAAAGATACAACAGACGTAAACAATCAATACGAGCGTTGAACTTCTTCGGCTGATGCTTAATGAGTAAATGTTTAGCGCTTGCCATGTCTCTATGTTTAATATACATGATAATGCCATTGAGAATGAATGTTTTCGTTTCACGGTTACAATACAACGGCTTCGAAAAGTTTTTATACGTTTACGAAGCATTGCAGTGTGTTAACGTGACAAGAAAAGTATATGTGAGCGTTATAAAGTAGTTATAGATACATGAAAGACACGTTTAATGACAAAGTAGAGGGTTGCGGGCAGCTAACCATTCTTCGAGCACTTAACATTCGAGACAGCTGAAGTGAATTGACACTCCGAGAATGACCAGATAATTTTTCAGCACAACAGTTCAGAATTTACAAACACTACAAAAAAAGTGGCCGCTTACGCAAAAGAAAAATGTGACAGCCACATTCGCACCGGTCCCCTTTCAAATTTCTCAGAATTTTCGCAAGTACTCTCATTTGGTGCTGTTGGATAGATTTTCCACGGGACAGCGTACTACCTCCACCGACGCCGGAAGTGTGAAGCACAGGCAAGTGCATTCATACTTATCATTGCTGATTCGTTTCCGGGTTAAAAAAATTAAATAGAACACGTTGATTGCACACTGCTATGACATGTCGAAAGCGCACGGACGGCCAAACTTCATTAAGGCTCCAGATGTTCCGGAAGTTCCGCAGCCAAGTAGAAATCTGAGAATTCTATCACTTCTGCAAAATATATTATGTTGAATATTAGCTTAACCTTGTACGTGGGAGGCGGAGGAGAAGGAGAAACAATCACTGAGAAGAAGGTGAGGTAACCACTGTCCTACGATGATTGAAGCTGGCAGAAAGATTATTATCAGATAGAAGAAGGCATTATGAACAAGAGAGTGAGAGAGAGAACAAAGAATCCGCAGATGACGTCAATGACGCATTCAGACGCTACACATTGTCCATATATGTTTATACAGCATGGTTTATACTTTTTTGTATTTTACGTGCATAGATGAGGCAAGCATCGTGTGTGGTGCCAGCTACTCCTTCTTCCTTGGAACGACACTGCATTGTAAAAATCGCACTTCTCTAAACAAACAAAGAAACAAAATTAGCTTTTTACCCTATTGAAAATGCTGGGTTGGTGGATGCTCGAATTGTTGGTGGATATGGTGGAAACTGTAGTGGGCATAATGGCTGATGGCGGCGAGAGTGGAAAAAATGGTGGCAGATGGTGATGGTGCTGGCGAGCCAATGGTGGTGACGGTGAAAAATGCCGGCTGATGATGGCTAGAGTGGAAAAATGGAGGCAGATGGTGGTGGTGGTGGTGGCGAGCCAATGGTGGTGATGGTGGAAAATGCCGGCTCATGGTGGTGAGGCGAAACGTGTTTCGTGGAAGGCTTGGTGAGCAAGGTGGTGACGGTGGCATGATGGAAGCTTGGTGGATGACGGTGGCATGATGAAAAGCACATGACAGTACGTGAAATCCCTTAATTGTAGTGTTTCATTCTTGAATGCGCAGAGATAAATGTTTACGGTCAAAAAAAACCAACGCTGCTCATTATGCTTTCTAGTACGTTTCTTTTTATTTCTGTGGTGTCAACAACGCTTCAATTTTTGTGGAGCATAGAATATGCGGCCGGGAATATGTTTACATTTCGCGCACGTACTTACATCAGTTTGACATCCGCGATGTATTTCTTTGATGTGGTGTTTAGAAGACTAGAGCTGTCAATGTAAACATGACAATAAATGTTTTACATCGGCGAGCAGTTGTCGACAAATAAATGGCCTCCAGTTCGCAATTGCCCCTTTCAATGTTAGAGCAGAACACAGCGGTCACTTGATGTCGCCACGCTAGAAACGCAATTCTGGTAATTCTTGCACACTCTATTGTTTGAGCCGTACCTTTAAGTTAACAAATTGCGTGCGAATATGCATAAACTTTCACTTTCGACATGCGTTGAGATGAGCCCCAGCGAATTTGACTTTCACCCTTCAGTTCTACCACCATGATTTCCACCAAAGGTTAGTCATACCGATCGAGCCCGTACAAGTGTTATCGGCGCTTCTGGGTTTCAGAATACACAATTTTGACGAGTAAAAATGACAATACAGCACAGCTGCCGCATCATTTACCCTAAATGAAGCCTTTTTTATTGCGTACGGTGTACGCGCAAGAAGCAACAAACATCGATGCGACGCGCTTGCAGCACCTCCACCAAAGGTACGCCTCGCCTCACCAACAGCCGCCGGTCGTACACGCCGGCGCTTCGCTGGCTCTTATGCGAAAACATAGACACGTCAATTCGTATGCTTACTGAACCAATATGATACCATAATGTTTCTGGCGCACTGCATTCGTTTTGGACTAGCCGTTATGTAGCTGTTCCTAGCGAAAGAGCAACAGCGGTGCGCTGGCACGACTGCGGTGTGCGTTGCGCGAAAAACATCGAAATCAATTGTGTGGGCGTATCTATCGATTAAGCATAGAAGCGTAATAAAGCCTGAACTGATATAGCCCTTTGGAAGGAGCGAGAAACGGATAATAAAGTTGGCATTAACCACCGATAAACTGTACCTGCTCCTCAGTCCACTGAGTCGTTTTTTTTTTTTGTCCTTGCGGTTGTAGATTATAACAAAAACATAGTGCTGTTCCCATTATCACAGTGGCAATCGTTACAGACAACAGTTCTTCGTGTTTATCAAATGTGAAAATTTTAGTAGCAGGTGTAGATCCCGTCCCTCCCAATTAAACTACAAAAAAAAACTGAAGTTAAACAGTGACTCTATAAGTTCACTACTTGTTTAACACCCGTATCTGTCGGCGTGGCGCAGTGATTAGTGTACTCAGTTCATAATTCGCAGGTGCCCGGTTCAATCCCACGCCGGCCGGCGCACCTTTTTTTTTTAACGGGTGGTTGATACATTCTTTTTATACAATCATTTTCTTATTTCTTTAGTGGCAGCGCGTCACGGTAGTTCTGAAGCTGCTTCGCGCTCCAGCATTGCTGGTTGGAGCGCGCCATCCACCATCCGCTCCACCATACACTACCATACACCATATGCCAACCTTTACACCGCCCTAATCCACCAAAATGGTGGATGGTGGACGTTTTTTCAATAGGGTAACAAACAAGAAAATGAGAGAGAAGTACACATTATGAACGTTCGAAATAATCGCAGGCTCTGGCAAACACATTCTCACGAACAGAAACAAACAAACAATTTGAAATAGGCTGAAATAGTTCACAGAAAGTTCACACTTGCTTACATTCTTGCGAACCGGCAAATTCAAGCTTGCAAGAAGGAGGAGGTCGGGGTAGGAAGAGCAGGAGGAGGAATAAGAGGATGAAAGGAAGAACGGGAAGGTTAGCCAGTTTTCACACTGGTTGGTTAGTCTGTGCTGGGGAAGGGATGAGACGGGTAAAAGATGACAGAGAAGAGATTCAAGGAAAGAAACGAGAAAAAGAGAACATGCGTCCTCCGCATGGACGCACCATCGAACCGACGGACGAACGGAAGCACGGACGAACTGACGGACGCATGGACGGACGCACGAATGGACGAAAGCAAGAACGAATAGACGGACGGTCGCACGCTTCGTCCCAGTCATCGTCGTCTACTTCGTCGATATATGCAGTGCAATTTCCGATTGTCTTTCTCTTTTGTTTTCAGCAGACCTGTTATTCTCCAATTAGCCAGGTTTACTAAGTAATAGAAATAATATTAATAATAATAATATATAACAATGTTATAACATAAACAAAAGTGATAATAATAACATCTGTGGTTCTAGGTCCGATAACAACCACGCAAATAGAATGAAGGCCGTCATGAAGGGCTTCGAAAATTTGGACCATCTGGTGTTCTGTAACGTGCAAAGACACCGCACAGTACACGGGCCTCTTCCATTTCACCTCCACCAAAATGAGGCCACCAGGACCGGGATCGACCGTGCGACCTTCCTTTTAGCACGCACATTACGGCGGAACAGTGCGCGTGTTTCAGAAACAATGCTACATGGTTTATAGCACTTTGTGCGATACCACGGGAGAACTCTACTCAGCGGTCGCTGACAATAGAATCGTTAATTCATGCCCTGTCTGTTTAGCAACACTTCGGAATGCGTTATTCTCTATCTGTATGTGAGAGCTACTTTCATAAAGACAAAACAAGTGCGTGCCGATCGCGACATAATCTATGCCACCTTTTATCCGGGCGTCTGAACTTCATTCCAAATGCGTCAAACAGGTAGACCAGTCCGTGGTTGAAAGCTGTGAACGTCACCCTGCGGATCGAAATCTGGACCAGCGGTGTTCTTCTGACCACATGAACGTTCGCCTTTGTGCAGCATGCAGCCTGTCGGATGGCAGACGCCGCTGCACTCTCAACCACTGTTAATGGCTACTGTGCAGTGTTCGCGGAAGTTGACCACCCTGCCAGCGCCGTGCACAGAGATGTCGGCTCGAGCGCAATGTTTAATCATGACGCACACGGTCCCGAAGCATCTCTCCGGCTAACCATTTTGCTCCTGCTCAAGGCTTTCCAAATACTTTTTCATCGGCCGGGTTCTGCAGCGCGTCACCATGACCTTCCTCAGCGCCAACCACATCCTGCGGTGCGTTGTCGCGGGCCCTTTCGTGTAGCTCGCCAGTACCGCTCTGTGGTCCTTTGCCTCGACGTTGATTCCCGTAGAGGCTCCACGGCGCCAAGAGCTCCATGATTCCAACGTACTTTGGCCCCGCGACGACGCCATAATCTTTAACAGAAGGCGTGAATTGTTTGTAGGGAAGCAAACCTTGATGGTATACGGCTGCATTCGAAGGTAGAATGTAAAAGAGTGGTTGAGCCACGATAGGCCACATCATCGGTCCCCTTACAAATCCCACGGGATATTCGTCGTAAGTACCACGCTGGCTGGCCTTGTTCTCTTGGCCGTTAGCTGGTTGGCCTTCGTGGTCGGCGCGATTATGGGTCAAGTGTTGGAGCTATTGACGACGTCGATCATGGCCAGTGGTGTTGACCTGGCGCTGGCGGGTGGACATCGTGGAAGCGGTCCGCAATCGACGCGCGATGGCTGAACTCTAAAACGGGTATAACTGATGACCAGTAGCCTCTGAGAACTGAATGCGGGTGGTAAAATTGGCACGAGAATGGCGGAACTCGCACCAACAGCTCGTGCTCGGCTCTTCTTCTTCTTCAAGGCATGAATTGATTGAGTAGTGGTAAATTTTTAGACTTTTTTTCTTGGGTGATAATTACAAAGACTACAGTTAACTAGAATAATAAATTGAAGTACGGGATATTGGTGATGGCATATTTAAAGTAGGATAATTTAGCTAGATACTCTTACACAGGAAAGTAGTGTCCCTCTGTTTGTTTGGCGCGTGATACAATGGCACATACCCCCTCTGAGAGATTGGGGAAGAAAACATATAGTATGTTATGGAAGGTAACCACGTTATTTCTTGCCAAGAAAGGCTCTCCAACACTTTTTGAATATGGTCAGCAAACGCTGCTGATTGGAAGTCGAGGCTCACGAGAACTCGCGAGCGTGACAATAAAGCGCAGCAAGAAGCCTGCAACTCACCGTAAATTCTCAAAATCAGCTAAAATTCGCTTCATCTTCTCACTACATATGCTAAAAATTATAGTGTTGAATAGGTGCAGGTATCATGCTATTAGCATATTTGAAGATGGCGTGCTCGGGATCCAATGAGGCTGCAACGGCAAGCAATCACATGCTATGCGTGCCCACTTGGTCGCACTGAAAAGTCGCATGTTCAATGAAAGAGATTGAGTGAGAGAGAGGAAAGTACTCAAAGTCATGAGGCACGCTTGGCGTACTTTTTTGCCCCATTCACACCCTCTCTGCTTGGCTTCCAGCACTTTCGTCGGGACGAAACAACAGTGGAAGGAATTGATCGCGCGAGATATCTCTGTTATGTCCCTGTCACACGTTGCAACTTAAGTGTACTTTGAGCAAGTGTACCTACGCTCACCAAGTTTCATTTTGATGGTTCACTGCTACACGAGGAAGCGAAGTGTACTTTGTAAATGATGGCAGTGGCGATTGATGGATTAGTAGCACAACTTATTTTTTTCGCCTGCGTCTCATCTTCGGACCACATTTTCTTCGTGGAAGTAGCACCTGTGGCACACATCTTAAATGACCACAGAACAACTCATCTACACATGTTTAAGTGTGCCTGGATGTAACAACGCGATATGCGCAGCCATTGTTGTGCATTTGCTGCCGCGTCCCCCTAGCGGACGTGGCCTCAAACAGCCCGACGGTGAAAGTAGCGAGATTATAGCTGTATTTTATGACTTCTTTTAAACAAAGAAATATCCATCATAACAAAAACATTAGTTCAAATATATTGAGCACCGCCTTAGGCAACAGCATCTTTCCGTACAATCCGCTCGTACCGAGGCTACCCACTTCAATGCAGCCGTCTCAGTGAAGTGAGGTTAGGAACGCACCTGCCGGCAAGTGTAGTTCGCAGCGAGTGACACTAAACTTGCTCGTGTGACAGTGCGTAAATGACACTCGCGGCTCAGTGCACTCGCTCAAAGTCCACTTCGGTTGCTACGTGTGACAGAGGTATAACTCCACTCGTACATGGAGACTTATATTTTTTTCCAGTGGTCAATTCGGGAGGAAATGAGCTCTTTTATTGAAGCCGTTACATGAGTACTTGAAAAAAGTCACAGCTTTGCCACAAAGGCGAAGCAATGAACGCGATAGCAACCAATCGGAAGTTAACGCGCAGAATGGTAAGCATATCGAAACGTGCCCCGCATTTCTCACACACAAAGGACGCACGAAACACGAATAAATGTTTCAGTGGTTACTTCTGAAAAGCGTGTCTGAAAAGCGCGCCCCTTCCGTAAACGGAGGCTGTGCAACGATTTCAGTGACCTTTGTGCGGCCGGTAACTACAACAGAATCGCTCCTACGAAACTCAAAGGCTAGCCAAGATGTACGAGTCTCCCACTGCAAGATGAGGGCGCGCGATCAAGCGTACGCCCCCTTATTCTCTACGCGCGCCTAATACACGTGAGAGATGACAGCCGCCACGCGCTCAGTACGCCATCTTGCCGACAATGCTTAAAACACGATAGTTACAAACACGATGCCCGCCAACAGCGGTAAGTGGTAGATATGAATAGCTTGCCATTTGTACATTGGAGGAGGTACCTCTCAGTGGCTCAGTGTAAAAAATATTTACTTCCTACTACACATGGAACCCGTTTTTTGCCTTGTGATAGTTCTTTGCAACATTTGGACGTTATTTTGTCTTTATTTGGTTTTGCGTAGCATGCTATCGTACAGACACTGTAATGTAAGAGTTCTATCTGTTCATGAGTGTTTCGTGGAAGCTGTTATCCAAGTGCGAGATGTGTATAAGACTACCGACTGTGTTGAAGATGTAATATCTTCGTTTGATGCGTTAACACACATGATAGACGTGTGATGTGTGATTGTCAGATTAACTTGACCTACAATGAAAAAGCAATAAAGAAAGAAAAACCTCTCAGTGGCTTAGTAGTTAACGCCTCGCAATCACGATGCGGAAGTCCAATATTCGATTCTTTCTTTCTTTCTTTCTTTCTTTCTTTCTTTCTTTCTTTCTTTCTTTCTTTCTTTCTTTCTGTGCCAGTACAGAAAATGGAGTGAAGGCAAAAGGCTGAAAGCCTGACTAAGGGCCTTTGCTCCAAATACAGTGAGGCAGACAGGCTGTCATAGGAATTTTGCAGGATACAGAAAAAAAACAGAAATATACAAACATACTAAAGATACACGTGCAAATACTGTAACACATACAACAGTAATAAATGTCTCAGTCTATTCTGTGCGCCGGAGTCTTTTTTTCAAGGATTTTCTTCTTTCTTGCGTTTATATATATATATATATATATATATATATATATACGTGCATGACGCTGACGTTGATGCCGACGCTGGTTGCGAAATCCACCCGAGAATGTCCATATAATTGCTATAGCAATAACATTAAGTGTATCGGGCGGGGGGGGGGGGGGGGCTCTTTAAAACGGAAAGGTTCTGGCCTCTCGAAGATAACGTTGTTTACCAAGCGGTTATTCCCGAGGCCTGCACTATACACGAACACAACAGCGCTGCAAGCCACAAAAAGGCTCGAATGTGATCGGTCATGACGCAGGGTGACAATTTTAGGAAGCAGCGGTGCAGTCATAGGTCCCAGAGTAGCATAGTGTACTAGCGATCAGCGCTGGATTGTGAGATTCAGGTGGTACTACCCGATCATTCAATGGAGAGCCAAATGCCTAGGGATATGAAGGGGCGTTGAGTCATTATAAGCATCGATACGCAAGACACCTAGTAAAATATAAAACAGTACAATCCTCCGGGCATATCGGTAGGCGTCTAGAATCATTCTGTCTCAACGTTAGCTAATTTAAAACGGGCCTCGAAAGACCGGTAGGTCAAAAGTCACACGTCTCTTGCTCGCCGGATAATACATAACAGCCGAACTGTGTTAATATGAATAAAGTGTGATCTTTATAAAAACACACACACACAAACACGCACATATATATAGAGAACCTTCTAAAACAAGTCGTTGATCTTTCGGTGGCCTTGACGTATATGGGGCTCTACTACTGAACCAAGGGTCATGGGGATGAATACCAGCCGTGGCGGCCACATTTTCAATGGAGGCGAAAATGCTTGAGCCCCACGTTCCTAGATTTATGAGCACAGAAAGCACCGCGAAGTGGTCGAAAATTTCGGAGCTTGTCACTACAGTGTCCCTCTCAATATGTTGTGATTTTGGAACCTCCAACCTTAGCAATTAATATTGAAACAAGCCTTTCGTTTGTAAGTGCGATAGTGCCGGAGTCAAAGCGCCGTGTCTGATTGTCAGATAATTTGCGTTTTAGGCCGAACTTCGTCGCCAGCGCAATCTTGCCAGGCTCTTTACTGCAGCACTAGGTTTCTCAGTTGATGGCCCCGTCCCATATTTTTTGTTACGGCTGCCATTTCTACAACCATGCGGATTGCATACGACGTCTCTTTCAATCTATCTGGTCTCGCCAAAAACCGCAAGTGCGAAATAGCGTCAGGACAAAACCTGAGGAAAGAAATGAGAAAAAAGGTGGCAACAAAAAAAATCAGGCAATAAGTGCTCGTGTACCAAAGAGTGCGTGCAGTGCAAGAAGTACAGCGCAGAAGGGGAAGAGGCTTAGCAACTTAATGAACGGGAGTAAACCAAGGTCGGTATTTCATGACACTCAACAAAGTGAGAGAAACGAAAGAAAGAACAATATGTGGGCAATGAAACCAAGAAGGAAAAAATACCACAGAAGAATCTCCGTGTACTACGAGAAAAAAAAGACATGTAAATTATGGTCAACAACTCAGACCGCCAGGTGATTGTCACTACTTGCTCTAAAGTAATCATAAAATATACCCCCGTTCCATCAGCATGTGTGGTGTTGTATGCAGCTTCACTGGATATTCACGTTTACAGGGCGTAATGGCGGGCAATACATTTTAACAATACTGATTGTTGGCCTAGTTGGTACTTGCTTACTGACATGATTTGGCCGCAAATAATACACACACAAAAAGCACAAGCTTGTCGTTGAGTGTTTCTTTACTCTGTGCTTGTGCTTGTAGTAGAGTGTTTTTTTACTCTGTGTCTGTGTATTATTTGCGGCCAAATCATGTCAGTAATACAATTTAAAGATGAAAGTCTTTTATGGGATATTT